TTGTTGTATCGGTGCTTTTAATCCCAGTGGCAGGATCTTATTGTGGATAGTTTGAGCAGATGGAAGGTTTTATGTGGTGTGGTTATGCTATATTTGTGATTTTGATCTCAGTGGGAGGACGATCAAATGTGTTATCAGATATGTTGAGCAATGGAAGGTCAATCAAACTCGTTATGGATAGTTCGAGCAGTGTGGCAGATAGAGGAGGCTCATTTCGAGCAAACTCGGGGATTCATTACAGATATATCGAGCAGACCTCAGTGGTAGGTCGAGGGTGTTCGTTCCGTCATGAGCAGGTTGATTGCGTTTTATCTCGGTCTTGTTGAATCAATTTTTCGACTTTAAAGGAAGGGAGATGGGACTCGTTCCGTCATGAGCAGGTTGTTTGCATTTTATCCTCGTTTTGTCGAATTGATTTTTCGACTTTAAAGGAAGGGAGATGGGATTCATTCCGTCACGAGCAGGAGTATACAACAGTCTTGAATTTCAACTTTTGAACTGAGGGCGATAGGAGGAAGTGGTATAAGAGAGCTTGAACATGGTGATCGAAACACAACAGACGTCAATTCAAAATTTCAAATTCAAGACTTCAGAGAGTGGTCATTCAGTTCTTGGTTTTCGACCTCAGAGGTGGGTCTCTCGATTCTTGGCGTTCGACCCCAGAGGCAGGTCTCTCGATTCTGGGTTTTCGGTTTTCGGTTTTCGACCTCAACGGTCTATCGATTCTCGGCATTCTACCTCAGAGGCAGGTCTCTCGATTCTGGGTTTTCAACGTTCGACCTCAGAGGTGGGTCTCTCGATTCTCGGCATTCGACCTCAGAGGTAGGTCTCTCGATTCTGGGTTTTCAGCGTTCGACCTCAGAGGTGGGTCTCTCGATTCTTGGCATTCGACCTTAGAGGCAGGTCTCGCGATTCTGGATTTTCGGTTTTCTACCTCAACGGTCTCTCGATTTTCGGTTTTCTACCTCAACGGTCTCTCGATTCTTGGCGTTCGACCTCAGAGGCAGGTCTCTCGATTCTAGGTTTTTGGTTTTCGACCTCAACGGTCTATCGATTCTCGGCATTCGACCTCAGAGGCAGGTCTCTCGATTCTGGGTTTTCAGCGTTCGACCTCAGAGGTGGGTCTCTCGATTCTCGACATTCGACCTCATAGGCAGGTCTCTCGATTCTGGGTTTTTAGCGTTCGACCTCAGAGGTGGGTCTCTCGATTCTTGGCGTTCGACCTCAGAGGCAGGTCTCTCGATTCTGGGTTTTCGGTTTTCGACCTCAACGGTCTCTCGATTCTTGGCGTTCGACCTCAGAGGCAGGTCTCTCGATTCTGGGTTTTTGGTTTTCGACCTCAACGGTCTCTCGATTCTCGGTGTTTGACCCTAGTGGTGGGTCACTTGATTTTTGATATTAGGGGTCATTCGGTATTCATTTGGGGTCTCGATGCTCATTTGG